GATTATGAAAGCAAAGTGCTGATGGGAAATGACTATACTTGTGTTGTGATTGGTGTTGGTTCTATCAAGATGAAAATGTGGGATGGCTCTTCAAAAGTTCTAGGTGGAGTGAGGCATGTACCAGGACTGAAAAGAAATCTAATCTCACTTGGAGCACTTGACCAAGCTGGTTGTGTGTATAAAGTTCAAGGTGGAGTGTTAAATGTAATGGAAAAGTCCGTGGTGATCATCATAGGAGTCCTACAACAAGGCATTTATGTTTTGAAAGGAGGTAAAGTTGAGGTTCCAGCTGCAATTGGTCTGTAAATTCTCCTCAAGAATCAAGGTGGAGATTGTAAAACATGATTCTTTAAGGTAGAATTCAGCAACCTAGATCAATCAGAAATCAGTTGAACTAGAGCCTTTATTCCAACTATTTTTGCAACTGATTTCGGTTGGAATCTTCAACTATATGGAGCCTTAGTTAGTTAGGTAGTTAAAAATCATTTTTGATACCTCTTTGTGTCTATAAATACCTGCATTATGAGTGGTGAAAGGGCAACTCAAGAATGAGAAATTTTGTAATTCTGTAGTAGGAAGTGGAGATTGGTGAGGAAAATATGAAATTCTTCCACTGATTTATATTGTATGAATGAAAAGTCTTGGGAATAAAAGGCTGAGGAAGTTACCATCCTGTTTTCAATCTGTTCTGTGTGTTTCTTCTTGCTAGTTTCAATTTTATTTCTTTGCTGGTTTATTCCTCTATTTCAGCTGCATTTTCTGTTGTTTTCTAAATCTGTCTTCTTCTCCATACCAATTCTGCCGGTGCGTTCTGTGCTGCCTGACATTCAACATAAGTTCAGACTTAAAGCAAGCCATTACATCCCAACACTTCTCTTAGACATGAGGTGTCATGCCTCATCACTTGATGTTGGGTTTGCCAGTTGGCCAAGGAACATACTTCTATTGCTGGTTGCTTCCCATTCCAGACCAGCCATAGACTGTTATTAGCATGGATTTCATTATTGGATTGCATTGCACTTAGCGTGGCAAAGATTCTAAATTTGTTCTTTTAGATCGGTTCTGCAAGCTGGTCCAGTTCATTCCATATAAGAAGACATCAGATGCCGTTCAGCACCTCTATTTTCAAGGAGGTTTACAGGTAGCATGGTTTGCCTTCGTCTATTGTCTCGAACAGGGATATCTGGTTTGTTAGTCACTTTTAGTGGTTTCCGTGGGGTACGTGTAATAATTCCTTTTAGTTTTAGTAGTTCACACTATCCCCAGACGGAAGGCAAACACAGGTTGTGAATCGTTTATTGGATAATCTGCGCCGTGTCTTAGTTGGGAACCATATGAAAGCTTGGGATCAGAAATTGAATCTCAATCATGCACTTAACTAGAGGACTGGGTTTTGTCCTTTAAAATTGTTTATATTTCTTTTTTTCTGGCTCCCTTCGACCTTTTTACTGCACCTGGTCGGCCCAATGTGGAAGGGTGAGTTGTTCATCTTTTTGAGACATTACAATCAATATATTCATGCCTTATCCTTTGAACTCTTTATCATTGGCTTTCTTTCCCTGATGAAAATCTAATAGGAATTTCGTGCATTAAAATACAGAAATTGTTACAAATTGCATTTTTGAGAAATGCAAGTGGATTTTAATCTTCTTGTAGCTGTAGAACTGCAAGATATTCTAATTAATGATCTGAGTGTTTGAAGACGAGTGACCATGCGACTTGAATATTGAATTTCGAGATTTGACATTTGAATTTTGGGGTTTAAAATTTGCACTTTGGGACTTGAACTTGAATTTGATTTGAAGAAAACTTTGAACTTCTTGGACTTGACTTGGATTTGCTTGATTTGAAGAAGATTTGATATTCTTACTGTTCGCCGGACTTATGTCTGGGAGGATTTTTTTTTCTCTTCATTCGACTTTGAGATTTCTTTAGCGCTTCGTGATTTTATTTTGCACTTTCACTTGTGAAATTTTATGGACCTTCGGTCTTACATACAGGGAAATTCGTAACTAATTTGGTAACCACTCAATTATCTTTAATTAAAAGGAATAATTGAGTAATTATGAATTTTGAAATGTGGGA